TGTAAGGTCTCCCCTACTAAACCACGTTTAATTCCAAATCATGACAATCTAGGGTTTAACCTTCAAAGGATTATCAAATTATAAAATTTCATGAAAAGGAAATTTCTCTAATCCTTTTTGAAAAGAATCTCAAATTCAACATGTCGAATCTCAAACATTATTTAATAATTTTGAATCAGAGTTTTGAAAGTAAAGCAAAAGCTTGAAAATCAATTGGGACCCAAAATAATGAGTTTTAAAACTCAAAACAAATTTGTATAGAAAATAACACGTGTTTCATGGCTTGTCTTCTTTATGCCATGTGTCGTGGCGTGATGCGTCATGCGTCGTGGCGCATTGCATGAATTTAATAGCATTAGTGCTGTAATTTGACAACATAGGGAGCGAACTTCCACACATCTCAAATTTTTGTCCGACATTCAATTGAGGTGGTTTCAATGTTTACACGAAGCTTTCTTCTAACTCTAACTAATGGCATCAATTTCATACTCAAACTCATTTTCTATAAAAAATTAGACACGAAAACCCATTTTAACTACTTTTTTATAAAATTTCACAAATGGATGTCCCAACTCAACCACTTATACCAATAACTCACACCAACTATCTAACCATACTCAATAGACTCTAACGGACTCGTGCAATGCACCACACACAATCAAAAACACTTATATCATAAAATCATCACTTAACCTTGATTTTTACAAAATATAAAAGGAGAGGAAATGTTGCACAAAATCATCAATTTCATCTCAAATCTTTCAAAATACATATGTTTATATTTGCATAAGTATTTTGATCCTATCCATGGGTTTACAACCAAAACTCACAACCTAAGGCACAAAATATACCAAATATACACAAAATCATGCAAGTAGTGTGTAAAACATGTCAAATGATTCTAGTTGGCAATTACATCAACAAATACACATGAAAGTTATAAAAAGAGGCATAAAGAGGATTACTCCACAATCCTAGGCCTCTGTATACCTTTCTCGATTCAGATTCGATGAGCTAAGTTTTGAAAATATTGAGAATTGAGGTGAGTACAACCACTTAGTAACCAAGTTTCACCTAACCCATACATTTGTATATCAAATGCAATTAGATGCAAATAAGCACAGATATCACAAATAAACGCTCAACCATGATTCACAAAACTAACAACCATGTTACTGGGCTTACCACAACACACTTTATCATGTTAATTCACAAAACATAATACGGGGTTGCAAAATAATAACCATGTACTCTCAACACATGCTAGACCACAAAACTAACAATCATATGGCTAAAATTATATGCATGATCATATGCCAACTTTATATCCTCTTGTTACCTCCGACATGAAATTGGTAGCTATCACGTGGCTATGTCCTTTATGAAGTAACCCAACCTTCCACTTATGAAGAGTTACTAGGTCAAGGTTAACTTACTCACTTATGTAATTCAATTTCCCCCAATACTAATAATCATAGGGTGTCATACCTCTAATATAGCCTTCTTATGAATTGGTAAAAACTAATTAGGTTTAAGTCCCTTGTAGAACAAGTAGGACAGTCCCGAATCAATTATGAGACAAGGGCTACCTCCTGATTCAAACAGTTGGTGCTAAGGCTAGTTTTCGATTCCAACAATCACTGCCAATACCACGTGGATTTAAAATCATTCTACTCCCCTTCTTAGGTAAACTCTCGCCAATGATCATGCTACGCACATTTCTTACATAATATGCATTTCAACAATCAATTCATAGCACATGAACTCACATAAACTCAAATACTCCACAAACTCAACACATAATACATCACGATTCTCCACCCATAATAATAAATCACAATCAATTTCGTAAAACATAAAAGGTGGCATAATCAATATTATCTTTCCAAAACTATTTCACAAGTCAAATACATTACCAATATGCATCATTAATTTAAATCATAAATTACATTTCACAAACACAATTAACATTCAATCATAAAGATTAAGTTTTTTCCAATTACCTCAAACCTTTGAGAGGTCAAAGGTTTACCTCTCACTATACTAACTTCCCAAGCTTCAACAAGCTCGAATGGTGACAAAATAAACCACGCTATAATCATACCACAAGAATATCATCATCGTCTCAATTTTGAAAATTTATCAAGACATAACTCCACACATCCTATTTTATCAACCCATAGTCACTACCCATTCATACCCAATGGGCTTATTAGGTTTCACTAATGCACATTATTACTAATAACACCTCAAATCATCATTAGTGCATATAAACCTTTCCCAACTACCATAGTTATATCCATTTTTGGATATTAAATGCTCCCATGGACCAATCACTTCTAAAATTATCAATGTGGTGTTCCAATACCTTAAACAACTCTCATTATACTCATTCTAACCAATGAAATTGGACCCATAATTCTATGGACCGAAAATTCATCTTTTAACTCAAACCCTACCATAACTCATCATAAATGAGGGAGAGAAAGGAAGAATAAGGTTTAGGTTATTTACCTTGAATGTTTAAGAGCTTCAATCTAATCTTAATGTAATCCCACAACGTGCCCTAACAAAGCAAAAGAAGAGCTCTTCGGTTTTTCCTTCCACTTTTCTGTTTTTCTCGCGCTGATACGAATTTGATATATCAAATTTTTGGCCGTGCGCCACGGTGCACACTGCCCTTCGCCGCGGCGTATGACACAAAGGAGCCTGTTGCATTCAAATTCATCTTCGTGCGCTGTGGTGAACTGACCACATGTCGCGGCATGTGGCATATAGAATGATTCTTTATTTTTTCTTCCTCTTTCCTTACTCGAGTGGCCCGCCATTGATTCAGAATCACTTCTAGGGCTGAAATCACTACAAATACACTAAGTTAAGTCCCTCTAGCCACACACCTCATTAACTTATTAATTACTCTCATTAGGTTAATAATCTAGGATTAAATTTCCCCAGATGTTGTAATTATAAATTGTGAATTATACATGATGATAAATTGTATATGAGCATGTTGAATTTTTATATAATGCTAATGTTATTTATGTGGTAACATAAAAATTGATGCAAGAGATGTGATTGAGATATGATAATTTTTTATTCTTGTTGAGCATGAAAATTGATAAACATGTGAGATAACTGTGAATTATATATTTGAGAATTACTGAAATGTATTTTTTCACGAGCATGATCATATGACAAGAGTTCGCCTTTATGAAAGAGCTAGTAGTTGTGCAAAATCCATATAGTACTAAGCTACTAATTGTTAATTCTAACTATTATAGATGTTACTTATCTTATAGGGTACTATAGCATTGTTCTTAATAAAAGAATTAACCTTATTGGCCTACCTGGAGTTTTGGGTAGAGCTAATGTTAGGTATGACACTTCATAGTGTGTGATTTAGAGGAAACTGTGTTTATAAGTGAGTAAGGTAACTTTAGCGTGGTAGCCGCTTACGATATAATTAAGGCTTTGGGTAGTCTCATCATATGAACAATCCCTTTCAGTTGTTGGCCCACAGATTTCATCTCAAAGGAAATAAGAGGGGATATAAGGAAGAGATTGATCATGTATTTCATTATTGTTATGCCATTTGAATGATCGATGGCTATGTTTGAGACTATGATTGTAATTGTGAAAATGAGAATATGTAGTAAATATGTGAAAAATGTACATGCGCGTACTTGTGCCAATTTTATACAAACATTCAGTACTTGTGGGCAGTTGTGCTAATTTTGTACTAAATTTATTCTTGAGATTATTCACATGAGTTAGATGTTAATGTGATTGACATGATCTTAATATAATTATTTACATGGTTATCTTGATCAATTTGTTAGTCACTTGCTTTCATGATTAATTATCATGTATTTGTATAACTTAGATGTACCTTAATTATTGAGTGATTGTATTCATTCTTTTCTTTTAACATATTACAGGAGTTAGCTTATCTGAGAAGAACAGATGAAAGGAGCATTAGGTTGAGGGATAATAATCACTTATGTAGGCCTTTCTTTTTAATTTTGATATGTGTATTTAATTTATGATATTGCTAACTAGGACAATATACTATTGATTCGCTTGCATTATTAGTTTTGTGTTTGGTGAAAATGTATTTTGGATCTTTGGGAATATGGTTTGGTACTTATATTTATATTAGTAGGTCAAAATACTTGTGTAAGTAAAAATAATTATTATATGCATGATTTGAGAACTTGAATATTGTTATGGTCTTCTCTTATATTTTTGATGTTCAAGATTAAGAAATTGATATTAACTATATATGAATAAAAAGGGATATTCATGCATGTGATGAGTTATTGATGAAAAGATAATATAATGAAATATGATGACTTGGTGATAATCATCATAACAAATATGATTGACACCTTAACCTCTCATTATTAGTTATGGATGGATTTGAGCGTGAGCGCACACACACCCCTTACATTATTAATACTTGTCTGGAAATAATTTCTTGAGTGATCATTAGATATAATTCTCCCTTTTTTCTAAAAGCACCCCTTAATTCAAAATATAAACCATTTGATCAATTTTATATGTTTTTTCATTCATGCCCTTGCTTTTTTTATACCTTGTCTTTCTTTCTTTTTTTTTTTGGGCCAATATTTAAAGACCATGCACATATAATACTAGAAATTCTTGGAAAGACATAAATGGAAAGATTAGACATTTTTAAAAAATTAAAACTTCAATTAACATTTTTCATAATCCTTAAATTAATTAACAATAACTTATATCGTAAACTAGAAAAGGTATATTGATATTGATAATCATTTGTAATGCAAGTCGTAAATATAAAATTTTTAGAAAATATTATTTAGAAATTATAAGATAAATAATACATACATAAGTATTTTAAAAAAAATATTACAATGCACGAGCTTGAAACAAATAAAACCAATCCCACCAAAAAAAAAAAAAAAACTGCCGGCAAATTTATTTCAAATCAATAATCAATAAGTATCAGATGCAAAAACTATAAGAATGCACGTTATTCATTCAAATTTCGAAGGTCATTAACTTATTTGTCAAGGTTGGTGTGATATACAAGACGACCTGCATCTAAATTATAGCAAGAACCACAACAACAATAATGGAAAACATGACATTAACATCTTCAAAACCTATAACATATTTCACGAAATTCAACAAGAATCTTCACTCCAGATCGTACATCTTATGAGCAACAACTTATGCTTACTTCAAACACTGTTCTGAACAGCGTCATCGTCCCGAAGGCATAAACGTAACAATTTTTGGCGAGGTATAATGCCAACTAAAATATGAAGACGACACTGTCATGAACTCTAGACTTTTGATTCTGAGCCACGCATTCGGAAATCCACATTAGGTTCCGAATCTCTTGCTCCCTTAACCTCATATACGCGAAGAAAACAGCATAATGGAACTGCAAAAAGAAAAAGGCAGCCAAGTAAGACAACATATAAAAAGAGTTAAGCCATTACAATACTGAAGCCACACAATTTTCTTCCAACGCTCTGACTCTACCAATTATTTTACATAACCCGGTGAGGGAGATATGGCAGTCCCTACCATATTAGTTTATTTTCTACCGGGACCAGAAATAATGAAAAACACAGCAGTCAGGTGTAAACCTGTTGCTCGAATGCTAAGCAAAGCCTCTTCACTTCCTCCTCATAGAACGCCTTGTCAAGCATCTGGCTCTCTCCGTAAGATAATTTAGCAAAAATAGACTGATATGGAGGATACTTTTCCATAACACCACGGACCTGCATGAGAACCATTGAAGGACCAGACAATAAACTTAAAATTATTCAAATACAGATAGAAGTTAAAACCCACTATCTACAAGCAGCCGACGGATTTACAGCTTAAACTCAATAATACGAAAACATGTAAAACCAAGAGAGCATGCATTGTTTGGGCATAAGTGACCCGAGTGTTAACTGACAATATTTCATATTGACCTGGCTATTAAACACAATCGACTATCCAAAGTGGCACAACCTAGCAGGGCCTAAGAGACAAACAAACTAAAAGAAACCAATTAACTTCTATTAATTTAAATCCACTAAAGAAACTACTTAACATCACAACATCACAAGATTGAGAAGCAAAACAAAATATACCTGATCAATGTCCTCGCAGACAGCCAGCTCCTCATGGCCATAAGGATAACTGTGTGGGATAAGTACATAATTACTAAAAAACATTCCAAAGCAGCATAGAAACTCTGACCGAAAAAAGGTAGCACTTTAACTTCAATGAAAAGACAAATAAGTATTGAGATAGGAGCTTACAGTAAACCAAAATTAGAGTACAATTTTCTGCGATCATCTCTTGTGAGCTCCGTACCAATGCTGTTCAAAGTGAAAGTCATCATTTCAACTCTACAGATATCCAGAAGACCAGAAAGGCAAAAAGTTACACAAAATCCTCTTAGCATCAACATACCTATTTATGGTAATATTTACAGCTCTTCTATCAGCCTCAAAAGCTAGAAGGTCAGACATGATCTCAGAAGTGGCACCACCAAGTTTCTGTTTAAGAATAAACATTGAAGAAAACCAGTTAAATGGCAAAATGAGAGAATAAATAGTCATAAGGGCAAATACTTCAGTGCAATCACCTGACAAAATCTGTAAAAGTCTTCAAGGTATGCCTTGTAAAGAGTGTTCCTCATTATTTCAATGTTCATATCATCCAAGTCCTAGGAAAAGAAAAAATTAATAATAAAAATCTATAGAACACCAAGATCAGATGCTCTTGAATAGAACCACAAGCATGCATATAACAGAACGACTATTTCCAACATAGACACCTGAGTCTACTAAGATGAAACTGTCAAGATCTAAGTCATTGATGATAATACTGTCAAAAGTTTCCTTCCGCTTTATGTCAAACCAGAACAAAATGTAAAGTTGAAAAACTGCCTTCTTAAAAGCAGCCATATGCTAGTTGCCACTAATCTCTTGATTTTCTAAATATTATAAACTTTAGCACCAATGAAATTTTGAGCAGACTGATTAAAGACCTAAAACCCAACAACAAAACTAAGGGAACAATTTTTCCCCCAAAAAAAAAAAAAGTTAGAAGATTTACATCTGATGTGATGCACTCTGAGAAGTATGGTGCCAGAGGCGTGTCAACAAGTACAAGTCTGTAGAGCTCCCGCATATTCTGAGCAACTGCCAGAGTAGCAATGCTGAGGACAACCAAAAGAACTTCAAAATTCTATATGCTTAAAGTCAGCATATCAATACAACGTAGAAATAACTATACCTGTCAAACATGCCCAGCGGATGACATTTTTCTAACAGTTCTTGAACATCTCTCTCATGCAAGGTGCCAGTAACAATAAGAACAACGTTATCAATCATGTGGCCATATCTGCAAGATGGGGGATGCGGGGAAATGGAAGAGTTATTGATGTCAGTTGCACCTTTTGGTCTACCTTACCAAGGATAAATTCCCCGAAACTAAAACATGGACAGAAAATGTGGATCCAAGCTAAGCACAGTTCAATCAAAGTTTCCTCGGAAAGTCAGGGTTGCTAAGTAATTGGAGTGCAAAAGACTAGATGCTACGGAAGAGGTCAGCTAAGTAATAATGATGTTCTAAACAAACTTTGATATCCTGTCCTCAACTAAGTATGCATGCTCACTATGAAGTTCATAAGAACAAAGAAAATAATATATACGATGAGTTAAAAATAAGAAAAGAAAGATTTCGCATACGTGATATACTCCAAAAAGGTTGACAAGGGCTCTGTGGCTTGGCATAACATGTGCTTATAGTCATCAACAAGCTTAAGAGTGCATTTCTCCACTATTGTTGTTGTGTGCAATGGAGAAGGTTTCTGCAATAGGTAGATCCACGGCATAAATTGATTGAGATGTGGAAAATAGGTATCTAACTGATACACAATAACCTTATTAAAATTCAATGTTCCAAAACCCACACAGAGCAAAATATAATCGACCACTAAATAGTCAAGAATCAAAAAGACAACCAACCATTTAACGGAGAAATAATCAAGCTCTAGAGTGAACAATTAACACAGGAACAGATGGTAATTCGCTTCAAGAGATTAACACTACAATAGCGTATGATGTTTAATTAAATCAGATTCCGATTTGAAGGATTTGACATATGACTTGACCCACTCCCTGATTCAGCGATGTAAAAAAGAAAAAAAAAAAAGAACTAAATCGAAGAGCGCACCATTTTGAAGGTAAGGCCCGTACTCAGTGGCCGAAAGGTGCATCTTGATGTCATCGAGGGTTTCACATTGGCACAAATTGTTATAATCGGCTGCAGTGAGCAACCCACCACGGTGTCCACGCACGATTGCCTCCAGGTAACCGCCATGGATGTTGAACGTAAGAGCTTCGAAGCCGTACATCGTTTCTGAAGACGATCCCAGGAGCCGCAGGATTCAGATCTGAATGAATTATAGAACAGAACAGGCGTCTGGTAAATGATCAAGAATACAGCGTGATTTTTAAAAACCCAATTCGATCGTGAATATTAAGATCTATCCACATGATCAATTACAAGTTTCTGTTTTTTTTTTTTTTTTTCCGTCTTGGGAATGAAATTCCAGGTACATTGCCGAAGCCATCTGTTTTGTGGCTATTGGGCTTAGCCGGTGATCATCAGGCCCAATTCAGATTCGTTATGAGACTTGGGCAGTATTGGGCTTGACCTTACGTTTCTATGAGCAATCGCCCAAAAGTCGAAAATATATCTGTAAGCTAGATGGATTGGGTTTTTACTTTTTATTCACAAAAGAACACAACAGGGACAAGTGGATGACCAAATATGAAGAATAGAGTCGTGAGCCATTTACTTATTTCAATTTTTAAAGTTATTAATGCCTTAATGGAATGAAATGGCAATCACAAATCAGTAAATATGTGTTGGATATTTGGGAAGCACCAGTGCCAAGAAAATGGAGACGTAGAAAATCCGTGATTTGCAGCCTAGGCAGCAAGAATCAGAGTTTATTGGTCGAAATGTTGAAGGACTCCCACTTCAACTTGGTGAAGTGGTCCATTAGAATCCTGAAAGACACATTGAAAGTAGTCAAATATTTTTTTGTGCCAAAAATCAAAATCTTTCACAGCCAATAGATTTTAAAATCTTACATTCTTACTAGCTACTAATTACTACTATTCTAGCTAAGTTCATCAAAGACGTTAGCTTAACCCGGACATAGCACCCTATTATTTAGCCCTATTCTGGATTGTTCTTGCCTTATATATATATATATATATATATATTAAAAAGAAAAGTTTAAATGAGTTAAGTTCTAAAGATAAGATATGTTTTTAAATTTAAAAGCATTTATGAGGATAAATATAAATTACTTATTAATAAAGTCTTTATATTAACAATGAGATTTGATATCACGAGCTTGTAAGTTATAAATTAAATTTTTATCAACTGGATCATTTTTTATTACTTTTTGATTGACTATTTTATAAGATAATACCTTCGCTGACATCTGCGTGAAACAATAATCATAATCTATCAATAACATGTTTATATTTATTGTAATATTGAGTATTTTTTCTTGGAAAGGCATAGTATATTTTACTAGGGGTGTCCACCAGACTTGCATCAAGTTGGATCGATCGAATATCGAAAAAATAGGCATCGAAAAAAATTAAAAGAGGGAATAAAAGATTGAGGCCATTTGTTGAAAAAAAAAATGAGTAAGAGTTTTATTAATCCAGTTAAAATTATATTCTTTTAAAAAAACACCAGATCAAAAAATAATAGTCTTAAAAAGTATAAATAATCCGTCTGCATACATTAGTTTCACGTGAATTTATATTAAGAAATTAATTTGAAGTTTTAAATACACTTTAAAATTGAGATCTTAAAACTTATTTATAAAGTTGAGCATGATGATAATCATAAACTCCAATTATAACATAATGAAAAACATAAATTAATCAGTGTTCATGGAAAAAAAAATTAGGAGTAAATAAATGAACTTTCAAGCTCAGTACGGACAACACCTCATCTCCACCTGACCTGAAATACTAGGCAAGATCATGTAGACTGAGTTAATTAGTTGAATATATATCCTATTGCCAACTTCATCTGTTTGCCATTATAAGTTCTATTAACTAACTTACACCGGCCAATACAATTAGTCATGAGTGCCCCTTGAAATATTTCAATATTTTCAAATATGTCTTTCATTAAATACAGGCTCTCTTAATAAGAAAAGAACTAAATCAACGGGGTCAAGTAATTTCGTTTATCTTCTGTTAGAAGCATTTTTGAAACAAACACATCAATTACTCTTAACATTTTTATCAAGAACTTTATAAATTAAAACACGTAGTTTCTACTTTTAAGTCTCTGATATAACTAGCTTTTTTTTTTTTGGTCTTCCAGACACAATCATGAAAAACTCTATGTGGCCAATCAAACATATCTTTGAAAAACTCTCGTCTTAAGCAAATATTTGAGGGTTCTAACCATAATTCTTGTGTATGTCCCAATTTAGTTTGGGAAAGTTTACACATTACTCTTAGTCAGTGATAGACACATAAAAATTAGATATAGCGAGGGCAAATTTTTACTCAAGAGAAAAATATAATTATTTTTAAAGGATTTAAAATTCAAGAAATTTATTTTTTAAAATATGATTTCCTCTATTTATTTAAGATTATAACATTTAGTTAAGATTTAAGTTAAATAAATTTTTTCAAGGATAAGAGAGACTTTTGATGGAAAAACAAAAAATTTTCATTCAAGAAAGCAGGCAATTGAAATTTTTCAAAAATACAAATTGAAATTTTTTGGATCATTATGTATAATTTTTTTCCAGCTTAATAGGGGCAATTGCTCCCACAAACTATAACATAAGTTCGTCATTACTTTTAGTATTTTAGAGGAGATATTTTCTATTGTTGACGAGGCCTACTTTTATAATTATAAAAAAAAAAAAGAAAAAACGCGTACATGACACTTTCATTCATCTAGGTTGCTCTAGGCGAATAGTTCACACGGGCCTTGTTAATGGCATGTGCGTGAGTGTGCCAGCAAAGTTCGAGCCATACATGTACAGCCAATTCTGAAGTCAATGACCTACGTACGCATGCAAGCAAAGTTCGAGCTAGTGTCCATGAAATTTTATTGGGTCAGGCAGATCTATTTATATAAAATACAATGTGTGAGGATTTGTCCAAGATTGTTATTTTCTCCCAGAAATATATAATTATTTTGAGGATGCATGTGGCACCAAATTTTAAGATCTTGTGGGAAATTTCCTTGTCCTTCGCCATGTATCAAGCAAAAAATCAAGAGGGTCCACCAACTTTATAACAATGTTTAAAAGACAAACTAAAAAGCACCCAAAGCGAGATCATCGTACATTTCGAATCTTCAAAACAAGTTTGTTTGCGAGGATATTCGCTCCGGGGAACATTTAGATGATTATTTTGTACATGGCGCCAAATTTCATGATTTGGTTACTTCCAATCTGATCATTTCATCACGGACCACCAACTTTATATCAATGTTCGGAAACAAATTTGAATTAAAAAGTACGGCTAATTGCTATTTAAACCAGGAGAATCGAACTTCTCGAACCTTTTAAAACAATATATGTATATGCATGTTTGTATGTATGCAATCAAATCTCTTTTGTACGAGGGATAATTAATGCTGACGTCGAAAATATGACAAAAGAAGGGTCAAAAAGTTTACTCAATTATTTTAAAATTATTATATTACTTGTTTTGAGTGAACTATAAAGGATTTTATTTTCTAATTAATTAACTATACAAAAAATAAAATATTATTTATGTGTCTGTGTGAAACTTTGTATTACGTTTTCTCCTTAGGTAGTGGTTTTTTCCCTAATAAGGAATAAATAATATGAATTAAGTTTTAGAAGTTCACAAGAGGATGTCTCAAAATTAAAAAAAAATAGTTATATATAGAAATACTTAAACATATCATCTACCAATAAGAATTCTTACATGACAGCGCAAGATTTGAATTTTAAAACTACGTTTTTTAATATATAAGTTGTATTTTTTTGAGTAAAAATATGGGGAGGAGGTCCTCTCCGTTTCTTTACCTCATTTTCTCTCCACTTTTTTTATCTTAACCACTTATATTATTTTATTAAATAATTTTTTAAAAAATTATAAAATTAATGAATGATTAAGATGTGGAAAATGAAGAAAAAATGAGGTAAAGAAAAGGAGAGAACCCTCCCCCAAAAATATGGGACGCATCTTTGTTAATTGGATTGATTTATTGGTAGAGTGATCATGGATCAAGTTTTAGCTAGGGATAACAGATACAAGTCTTATCCGGAATTCAGATTTGTTCTCCCTGCAGGTACAACTAAGGATCTGCACTAACATTATATATATATAATATATTATATATATATATATATAGTTGTTAGGTCACTACTTGCGAATTTTCTGATGTTTCCATAATTTTATAATCCTTAGCGATGTAGGCTAAATCGGTGCGAGGCTGCTACAAGATTAACATTAATACAAGGGGCGAGTAATAAAGTTATATATACTTTTAACTCGACATTGCTTCAATTTTCCGCAAAAAGGACGTAATTTAACTATTCATCATTTTTATCATTAAATAAAAGATTTATCAACGCCCTGATTTTAAAAAGTGTATATATATACAAATAGCAGTACGGATCGACCTTGTGTTTTATTAATATCTCCTGTCTAAAATGTCAAATGTGAAATATTATTTAATTTATTCCGTCGTTGAATGTTTGGCAGTTTGGCCTTCGATTTAACATGCCACTTGATGTGGCTTTTGAATTAAAAGAGTAATTAATTACGTTATGATATAAAAATGAGGGCGGTTCACTCCCTCAGTCACCTGGTAAAGCCAAGTTCTTGAGTCCCTTATCGACTTTGGTCGGATACATGCAACATGATAAACCATCAACGAGTCCTTTTAGATGGTGACTTTTTTTTTTTGGCGCACTATAAAAAATACAAAACTCTATATTTTCTGGTTTCATTTGATCAGCTCTATATATGCCACGCGCCAATAAATTAATGATATTTAAGCTTATTAGGTAATAAAATAAAATACTAGTTATCATTTAAACCTCGGCTACGTAGTGTGAAGGGTTATATATGTAGGGATTGAACAGTCCTGATTATGTGTGAAAAAAAAATATTTGAATTTTTGTGCTGTAATTAATTTTATTATAACCAATCCATTTGGTGCTGTGATGAGATCGAAGTTTGGACGAACAATCTCGAAGGTCGTTTCATAGTCTCTGTGAATTGGAAAGAATCACGAACGTAGAGTCAGGAAGCAATATATTTACTATATTGTCATGCATGTCCCTCTCATGTTGATATAAAGCTAAACGTTTTCTCTGTTGTTTAATTACTTGAACATCTGAGTCTGTATATAATAGAGTTGAACTGAAAATTATTAGCAAGGGTTCTAGTTTTCTGCTTATAAAAATAACCCCTTCAATTGTTTAGTCTGAGGTGGGTTCTATATT